GAATGTCACACCGGTGGTCAGCCATCGACCACTGGCCATTGCCAACCTCCTGGCCTCGCCCGGACGAGGCCACCGTTGCTTGCCACAAGCGAGGCCGATTGACCCTTGCTTGGGCGAGGGCGGGTGAGCTCCGGTGAGGGTCGGCCTCGCCCAAGCCAGATCTATCAAGGCCGACCCTCGCCTGAGTGAGGACGAGGCCGACCCTCGTTTGCATGAGGGCGAGCCCGGCGAGGGCTCCCCTCGCCAGATCTGGCGGGGCCGGCCCTCATCCAGGCCACGGCGACCTTGCCGGGCGTCGCCTTGGCGCAGGCAATACAAGGCGACGCCAGGTGAGGCCACCATGGCCTGGGCGAGGGCAGGCCCCGCCAAATTTGGTGAGGGGAGCCCTCGCCGTGGCTCGCCCAACAAGGCCGCCCTCACCTGTGGCAAGCAACGGCGGCCTCGTCTTGGCAAGGCGAGGCGGCCGACCATGGCCGGTGGCCAGTCACCGGCCAAAGGTAGAAGAAGAAGGAAAAGAAAAGAAGGAAAAGAATCAGAAAAAAATATTTTAAAAATTGAAAAATTATTAAAATAATATTAAAAATTATTCACGTTAGCACCGTCGGTGCCACGTAGACCGACCAGCATCCACGTCAGTAAAATCAGGCTAAAATTAACCAGAATGACTTAATTGGCACAAAGACAAAAGGTTTATGATTGAATTAGCACCAAAAAAAGATTTATGACTGAATTGGCACTAATGCAAAAGGTTTAGGACTTTTCTGACACTTTTCCCATCATATAACTATATATGGACTATCTAGCATTGCTTCATATAATTTAATTACTTTGTAACAGTCTCTTTTTCACAAACCAAGCTCTAATACGATTACTATTAGCGCACCTTATAAGAATTTCCAACGAAGCGTACTCCGTCGTGCAATAGCACTGATATGAAGGAAGTCCTTACGTATTAGAAACGTTGGCTTTATTTATTTTTTATCTATTTTTTTCATTTTCATCTTAGCCCGTTTAGGAACGACCTAATTCCATGAAATTGTTTTGAGACCTAGAATTTTAGATCATGGATCGCACCTTGATGACTGTCATATGGGCTTGAATTAGTTTTGATTGCCCTCGTGGGCTTTACAAACTATAAGAAGAGAGGGTTGGGCTAATAGGATAAAAATATTTGTTCGATTAATTAGACCAAAGAGACCACGGCATAGATTGCAAGGTGTTTGCTTCTCCTCTTATAATCTCGAGTTTAAGTTTTGTTGGGAGCATTCCAGGGACGTAGAGGACAATTCAAGTACTACACAATTCTCTACTATGCCATCGGCCGGCCGATATCTTCTCTAAGGGTGAGCAAAAGGAATCGCCCAAACCGGACTAAGCTGGCCGGTTCTTGATTTCATAAAATTGAAATCGGTGAATTTTAGTCCGGTTCCAGGTATGGAACCACCCACCTGGATCACCTGGACTAGATAGATTTTTATTTTATTTCTTATGAATCTAAAAAAAAAAAACCCTAATCCCATTCTTGTATCTTCACAAACTCTCAATCATGCACGAATCATGCTTGCTCACGCCTCTTTCACAAACCTGAAAACTCTAATTCAATTCTTCACAACTCAGGCTCGCTCACTCTCAATCATTCTCATGCCTCTTGCAGTCTCGCTCTCTTCGTCGTGCCGCTCCCGCTCCTCCTCCGATCATACCCCTAGTCCAACGGCGACGCAACCGATCCTTCGTCTCCTTGAGAAACAACAAGGTCTCCAGGAAAACAAGGACACGGAGGAGAGAGAGGGAGCGAGAGGGAGGCGGATTCGGAGGGATTATGGCAAAAGTGAGAGAGAATGAAGGAGAAGTGAGATATGTTGGAAGAGGGGGCGGAGGTGGCGAAGAGATTGGTGAGCTAGGGAGAGGAGAAGTGAGGGGTCGAGTTAAGGACGAAGAGAAAGGTGCAAGCAACGAAGGTGAGAATGAAGCCACACACAAAGGATCTGGTTCCCCTCGTGGTGGAGAAGGAGAGTGGCCACGGCTTTGCGACGGACTTGGTGGGCAAGATCAGGTGGCGGAATATCCTTTGCGTCAGGGAGGAAAAAACAAAAACAAAAAAGAAGAAGGGATAAATGCACCGGAAGTCCTAAAATTATCACGAACATGTAATTGATTCCTCAAACTTTCAAAAAATGCAATTAAGTCTTACAACTTGTCATGAAAGTGTAATCGAGTTTTAAAACTTTTAAAATGTGCAATTAAATCTTAAAACTTGCCATGAAAAAGCAATATATTCCTAAAACTTTCAAAAAGTGCAATCAACAAAATGACTTGATTGAACCAATTTGACAAGTTTTAGGACTTGATTGCACATTTTGAAAGTTTTAAAATTTGATTACACTTTCATGACAATTTTTAAGATTTAATCGCATTTTTTTAAAGTTTTTGAGACTCAATTGCACTTTCGTAACAAATTTTAAGACTTCCAATGCATTTATCCTAAAAAAGAATAAAGTAGATGGCGCAGGTCTTTGGACCCACTCGAGAACCATACCCGTCAGTCAACTCTGCTCTAGTTCTAGGACCTGGTGGGTTGGTTCTCGATTTCAGAAACTGAGAACTGGCCTTTCGACCGGTTCCCAGTTTCAAAGTTTTAGGGTGGGAATCGACCCATCTTGAAATCGATTATCCCTAATCCACTCAACAAAGGTGGTTGCCACCACAACTAGTTACCCCCATCGCCCTAACCCAACTTTGTCTCTATCACCACCTCCGGCCAAGAGATCACCGCCTCCAACATCTTTCGACTCAACTGGACGACGAGTTACTGCCCTATCACTCAACTCCCTTTATTTCGAAATATTGCTAGAATATCAAAATATCACAATAAAATATCTTCAAACAACCCATACTTTCGTAACCATCGTGTGACACTTTTTAAGATTGGCATGCCTTATATTCATATCTTAGCAAGGACCATTATCACTCTAAAAAAAAAACTTTTACCCAAATAAAGTCACTGTGCAGGCCATAGATTCCTCAAAGGAGTTTGTGCTTCAAACCATTACTGTGAAAGCAGTGCCTCAAACAGTGACACGCGAAACAATTGCCTCAAATTACTTTTCATTAGCTTATTGGTTTGGATGTTAGAAGATACTTAAAATTTGAAAAAAAAACATTTTTTATATTGCTAATTTTCTGCGAAACAAACAAACATCTTTTAATAGAAATCGTTTCCCTCGCTCCTTGTAATCAAAACTTGCTCATTCAAAAAATAGAAAACAAAAAGATACCACGTTAAATTTTCCTACAATAGTACCGGGTCTTATGATGACGACTTTCATATATTATTGAGCAATTCATAAGCCAAACGTATGTTATACCACGCTAAAAAAACATGGAAGACAACTCCATTGTCAACTCTACGACCAATTTGCAAATCAGAATCTGCAAAGGCATATCCCCAAAATGTATGAACACCCCCCATTACGTGCAAAAATGGCCACGCCAGCAACAAATGCTAGGCATGTTGACCAATAAGATAGCACCATGTCACACTGCCTCACACCTCATCACACCCTTTTTCAATTTCTTTAACCCTTTGAAATGTTCAATCCATTCGATTCAAGGCCTCCATTTGTAAATTTTAATTGCATTTGCAAGTCTACTCTCTTCTTACCTTGTGTGGGTTGACCTAAATTTAGGGTTTCTTAGATGCAACTAGTGCCCTTTCATATCGTACGATGCCGTGGCCTTCGTGGTTTACTTTCTTCATTAAAATAATGTTCATCCCAAAAGTCAACTGGTTGCATGGCGTAAATGATGCCTTTTTCTCCTATTTTTATAAAACCAGTTGAATTACCTAAAGTCAACGTTTTTTTTTGGGGTTTAGTTTAGTAGTAGTGGCTGATCACTCCTGTTGCATATTTCTTCAAATCTCCGAATTTGCTCTTCCATTGATGACCAACATAAAATATTTTCAAATAAAAGAACCGAATATTAGTCTTGATAAAAGAATAGGTTTAGGCCGGATCGTGCCATTTCCGCGAGAGAGCATACTCGCGTGATGCCATAAAATTTGGGTAATCAATATGCCAATTATGTGATCGACAAGGTTTTCTCAAGATGTCGATAATGTACATATGAAATGGATAAAACCACTTGCGAATTTTTGAGGACAAACTGATAAGATGACACCAAAAGGCTCAATTAGCATATAGGAAAATCCACCGAAAACCTTCATATTTTGACTAGAGCTCTGAATCATAGGCACATTTCGCTATCTCCAAAAGGGAAAAAGTTTACAGTTTTAAGTTCAGTAATGTATATGATCTTTACGAAAAACTTGAAATATATTTCATCTGTGAATAGTTATATCCTTGTAAACTTATATGCTTTTTGGTGATTTTTCCCCTGTTGAACAAATTATAATCGTTTGATGCAACATAGTGGTTACAATCCAGCACAATCTGAAATTCGTTGAACATTCGTTGAGTCAATCAGAATGTGCATAAGTGATGGCCCACAAGATCTTGCATCTCCATTGCTGTGCTTCTACACATGCAGTTATTTATAGAAATAATTCATCAAGAAAGAGACGGGAGGAGGTCAATGCCTGCAGCTAACTTCCCTAGTTGGCCTGCCTTTATCGTGCTTTGCTCCAAATTCTTTAAAGAGAATTGAGTAATCCCATTATAATCCTCCTGATTTCCATTGATGTAATCAAAACCACCATCTGTGTTTTTCAATTTCACCCACCCACCTGAAAATAATCAATATCTTGCCCTATCCCTGTTTATAAACCAAGAACCGTAAGACCTTATGTCACCTGCCTTTGTTTTTAGTTAACTAACCCAATTCTGGCCCCTGTTTTGAAATTTTCTCACTTTTGTTGTCTTTTACTGGAGAGTGTTAAACTAATGAATTGGCCTTTTGTGTCCTGCTGAGCTTCTTCTTGTCAATGGGTATGTATGTGTATATATATATATACCGATCACCTCTTGTTCTCTTCTCTTTTTGAAAGTCTCTGGGAGCTGTTAGCCTTTTCTTGTTGGGTTCCTGTTTGTTTTCAGAGAAAATGACCACACAGTCTCAGTTCTTTTTGTTCTCTTGTTAAAGCTCATTCTTTTGTTCTGTCACATGGATGAGAGCTCTGATAAACGCACTGGGAACCAGATCTTTCAGCTTCAGAGAAAGAGCCAATGGCTTGGTCTTGTTCCTTGCCCGTCGCAATCTGAACTCTCAAGTCTTATTAAATCCCTGTTGATTCCAAGTTCTTAAATTTTGTTGCGAGTTCAGAGCATTGAAGCCGAAATGGGAGGTGTATGCTCTGGTCGTGTAATCCTGGAAAATGAGAAGCCAGGGACGAAGATTCCAGTAGTTTTTTCTAAAGTCAACTCAGTTGATGGATTCACTAAACAACAAGGTGGTTCTTCACCCAATGACAATGGCAATCAGAATGCACAGGAAAAGTGTGATTCAGTTGAGCTCGAATTGAAGCAACCAACGCCGTCAACGCCTAGAAAAACGGCCAATAAGGTTCATTTTTCCTGTGCTGCAGTATTTCTGTTTTTTATTTAGTTATTTTGCGATCAACGATAACGTATCGTGCTGCTCATAACTAATGTAGGAACCTGATTGCCCTTGAAACTATATTGAAGGAATTTTTATACTTGGCAATAACTTCATGCACTGCATACAGCGAACTATATCATAAGTTAAAATAGCTGGATGTTGGACTTGAATTTTACTGAAATTCTTAGAGTGCAGATGCTTGATTCACTTTTGATGATGTTTAGTAGGTGTGAACTAGTTGGTTGATTGTTCGACAGAATAATTCCAGTAGAATCAAACTTGAGCGAAGATTCGATTTTGCAACTATACTCATAACCTGGTAATTAAGGACGTTTGGATTGTGCAAAGATGCTTAAAACTATTCATAAATTGGATCATATGTGTCGTGCTCATGGAGTTTTTACTGGTCACTGCTCAAATAGTTGATGTAGCATTAGCTTTTACACGCACCTGAACATTTTTAAATGCCAGAACCTGAGTGGCTTGGATGAATATTATTTTGATAGGATTTTCCATTTCCTTGATTTTACTGGTAATCTTAAAGTTATTTATCTGATGGAAACTTGGGGTTTGGAAGTTCTTGTCAACTAAATTGAGCTTTCTGTGACAAGACCTTTAATTGTTTTTCGTCTGGTACTTCTGCTATCATCTAAAAAATTCTAAATCTCCATCTGTTTGAGCCGTTTTTCTATGTATTTATTTATGACGTGATCATTTTCAGGCCAACCAGAAGAGCTCACCCTTTGGAAGAGTGGGCATCTTGAGTATCAAAAGAGCAGTAAAAGTTTTAGATACACTAGAAAGCAGCAATTGGAATTTTAATGTCAGCAAGGGGCTCATCACGGGCGCGGCTTCCCGGGGCTGTGAAATTTTGATACTGGCATTTGAAGTAGCCAACACAATTGTTAAAGGCGCAAACTTGCTACGGTCTCTTTCTGAAAAGCAACTCCAGCTTCTAAAGGAAGAGATTATAACTTCGGAAGGAGTACAGAATTTGGTTTCCACCGACACGCAAGAGTTGCTAACTATTGCAGCTGCTGACAAAAGGTTGGTGGTCTAGTTGGCGAGAGTCTATGCAGGAAATTATCCTATATGTATGTCAAGTCAAACCATGTTTGTTTCTGTCCATACTCAGGGAGGACCTCGAATACTTCTTGAGAGAGGTCATCAGGTTTGGAGATCAATGTAAAGACCCCCAGTGGCACAACCTGGGTCAATATTTTTCAAAGTAAGGTAGCTTTACTTGGTTTAGTTCGTGTCCAGGAAAAATTCCATGTTGTCCTGATAATGGTTTACATGCTCATGGAAGCAATTGTGATATGGCAGATTGGATTCGGATAATTCAAGATGCAAGCTTTCTTGTGAAGAAGCAGAAACTTCAATGCAACAGTTGAGTTCTTTGGCACAGCAAACCGTGGTAAGTTTTCATGGAGCTGAGTTCTGCACAATTTCATTTCTACTTAGAATCCCCTGTTGCCATACATGATTTTCGTATGTGAGATGTCAACATTTTGTGCCATCAACATTATCATCCTATCATTTTCGGAATACGCATTGGGTACCTCTTTAAGAATGAGTGTAATTTGATATCTCTCGAGTCTCGCCTTACATGCATTGTACTGGTCAATGGACAAGCTGTGCATGATGCCCCTGTCAAGTGTTCCAACTGTTTTGGCTGGATCAAGGCTATTCCTAGGCTGTTGGTAATTTTTCCACACTTTTTCAGCTTAAAAAACAGACATAATTAAACAGTCAACTAGCTTACAACTTTTGGGAACCCCCCTTTTATCTATTCATACACGATCATGATCCATCTAAACTCTGCCTTTCAAAAAAGTTCACATGAATGGTGGCTATCTTCTTCTATGATCTGAGATCTTTCTTAATTTACAGGAGTTATACCATGCGTTGAATGGTCTGGAGAGATTCGAACGAGATTATCAGAGCAAGCTTAAAGAAGCAGAGTCCTACAATCTTCCTTTGAGAGGTGAGATTTGCAGATCTTAGATTTTTTTCCTGTACTTCATTTATGTTCATGAAGTTTTGTCTCTATGCAAGCTAGATTTGATTTTCATTATGGGTTGTGCTATCTCATAGCTCGTGCCATTTTTCACGTTGGAGAGAACATTAATATCATGAATATGATAAAGATGACGGAATCATCCCCGTGGCTTATGAAATTATCATCAACTTGTCATCCATTTTGATATTTACCTTCCTTATGAGTATGCTTCACATGAGGACTCGTGAAACTACAACTGGAGCGGACTGAACTTTTTAACATGTATTTGTGATGCCTTGAGTGGTGTCCGTAGCTCCTTAAAACATATTCCCGTTTGTGAATTCAGCAGGTCTTGTAAATTATTTGCAATATGTGTTTGGTTTCTGATTATTTGAAATATGTGATCACTAGTTGTTTCTTTCTACTTCACATTCTACATTTTATCTGTTAAGCATGTCCTAACTGCAATAGTCTGTTATACGGTTCCTTCAATTTTTCAATATTTATTTACAGGAGAAGATCTCATGAACTTAGAAAGGGAACTCAAACATCAAAAGAAGTTTGTAAAGAGCCTGAAGAAAAGATCTCTGTGGTCAATGACAATGGAGGAGGTATATCTATGCAGGCTACTTATTATGGCATTCGATTCCTGATTAAGATGCAATCCTTATCGCCTTCTTCTCATGTATGGTGTTGACTTGTTAGAATTGTCAATTGCAGATCATGGCCATGTTTGTCAATATTGTAGCATACATGCATCAAAGAATGATGGAGGCTTTTGGTGACAATGGTATGGACTTGCCTGATATACATTTAGCAAGGCATTTGACCACATTGCTGGTGCTCTAGTTAGATACACATTTCTCCCATCATTTGCCGCTTTGGAGGATGGTAGCGAAATTAAGACACGTTTTGATTGATAAAGCGTAATCTTGAGCTTCTTTTAACAGAATTCGAACATCAAAGTAACTTAAGTTTCTCATTCTCATGAATTCCCTGTCGCCATAGACCTGGATAACCACCATTCTCCAGCAGTTTTAAACAAAGACACCCTTAAGTTAAGGGTCTCTAGAAAGATCACAACAAATGAAATATTAAGGGTCTGACAAACTGCCATTAACCTAGGACATGAAATAGAAAAGTACGAATCTTAATCCCTTACAGGAGAATTTCGCGGAAATGAAGCAATTTCCCCGTAGCATACCATTGATTGTTGGCATTGTCAAGCATAATCATTCCCAACTTCCTTTTTTCCCCTGATGCACACGTGCATCTGCCGTAAAAACTTGAAGTGAGTCCAGCCACATTAATCATCTTGAGAAGTAAAAATGTAAGATAATGATATCTTGTGCCTGTTTTCACATTGCTTGCCAATGCTTGCCATTGTAGGACTATATGCGTACAGAATGTGTATTTCAGTTGATTATTTCTCAAGCATCAATCTGTTTAATGTGTGCCAGGCAAGACAAGCTTCATCGAAGAATACAGGACAAATAACGGAGGTCCCCAAAGATTGGGGAAAGCTGGTCTTGCACTACACTATGCTAACATAGTCGAGCAGATAGATATGATTGTGAGTTTGATCCTTCCTTTCCTTTCCAATGCATCTGATTTCAGTTCAAAAAATATCGTAAGTGTAAAATTTATGTTGTCAGGCATCTCACCCAGCAGCTCTTCCTCCCAATGTAAGGAGTACGTTATACCATGCATTGCCAACCGTTGTTAAAACAGCGCTTCGATCTCATCTGCAGAGTATTGATGCCAAGGATCAGGTATTCTGTTGTCATTCTTTTCTTCTTTTCGAAAATTACTTTCAGTCGTGCATGGACTCTTCTTCCTCTATTCATCATTTCTACTTCTACTGTTCTACATAATTCGAGTTTGCCTATTCAGCACTGTTCAGCATATAGAAGAATCACAGTTTGTCTCACCAAAGCAATGAACTTTGACATCTGTGGAGCATTCCAGTCGGGATCCTGACTAATATTTCCTAATTTTGGATTTCTCCTTCGACAGTTGCCGATTTCTCATGTAAAGGCTGAAATCAACAAGACTTTAAAATGGATTGTCCCTCTGGCAACAAATACAATTAAGTAAGTTTCAGTTAGTCAGTGACTTTCTGACCTGTTGCTTTGTTTCTTGCCCAAATGAGAAAAAACAAAAGCACATTGGATGTCACTATATTGATGAGCACACCACTTCCTTTGCACAGAGCTCATGAAGGATTTGGGTGGGTTGGAGATTGGGCAAAGACTAGGTTTGTATCTCTCTCCCTCTCTCCTCTTTCTCACTCTCTCTTGCCAATATTACATGGGTTAAGTATTATCATTTGGTGCTTTTATCAGTAAAGAGGCTCCTAAGAACACATCTACAAGAAACGGCATGATTCGCCTCCAGACACTGTATCATGCAGATAAGGAAAAAGCAGAGCTATACATCCTTGAATTAGCCATTTGGCTACACCATCTGGTCACCATGGTGAAGCAGAGAATCCATGCTTTCCAGCCTTTGCCTATTCGATCTACCATTCACAAGGGGAAGAAGTTACCCCCCAAAGTGCAGCCTCTAATGTCTCCGTGAAGAAGCACAGGAAAACCAAGTCCCAGGACTGAACTGTCTCGACAAGGTAAAGATCCTTCTGAAGAGGTATTTCAGAGGAGACCGACATTTATGAAAAAACAAGAAAAACGTTCTGCGTGCAAGAATGTTTTCAATGTAATGAACTGATTGAGTTTGAGAAACACTGAATTACTGTAATATATGATCGCCGTTGCTCTGTAAATAGCTCTAAGTAAGAAAGTATTTTCCCTCGAGTACATAAACTGTTCCTAAGTTCTAATCGATTCACCAATCAGCATGTGATTGAGAATCAGTTTTGCCTGTGAGAATGTTCATGGTGTTGAAGGCACTGATGCTCAAGGATGCATCAAGGATTTTGTCCGACTTCACCCTCAGTTGACGCTTTTCTTGTACTATGACCAAACTGCCAGTAGTGTAAATTAACTCTCTCTCTCTCTCTCTCTTCTGTACGATTGCAGTATTTCTGGGATTCATCTCTGGACAAACAGGCTGCTGTCTAATTTTGACAGAAACTTGCTTCCTGAATAATCTATCAAATTTGGAAAAGAATCGGTTGTTCCAACCACCCCAATTTCCCAAGTAATTCAACAGTCACTCGAGAAGCTACGATTATACGCCTTGGTTCAGATCACATACTGTTTTGCAGTTTATCCTAATCAAACCATTGAAGAACATCCTATAAACATTGCAGAGCCAATGAAGCAGTGCAGTGTATATTGTTGTTAATATGTCCATGGATTGGTTATGCCTACTCCACCTCTTACTAGTTCCACATTACAACAAATGCCTCCACCTAAACCACAGTTAACTTGAAATGTCTTCCACCAATTTCACTTTCCTCCTTCATCAAGTCCTTTCAGGTGGAAAAAAGAACAGAGAAAATTACAGGGCACATTATCTGCGACCGTGAACTCTTTATACATAATCAAGCCAAAAGAAGAATTATATACTCTATGATTTCTCGTTACATAGACCTTATTGTTATGACAGATTTACATATATCCTAATTCACTTTCATTCGCAACTTTGTCTCAACCACTTCACTTTCATTTTCTAAAACCACCATAAAAATGCCACCTTTATGTTACCACTTACCACATTGATCAAACTACCTTAGCTCAATGGCAATGGAGGGCATCTCTCCAAGAGCTTCAACCCTTCTTTCTCTTCTCTCTCTTCTCTTTTTCCACTTCGCAGCTTCACTAGCACAATCAGGGGCCGGGACTATCCAAAGAACCAAGGACCAACTGTTACTAGCTAGCCTCCAACCAAGCACCGAAGCAACGTCGACCTCACCAGGATCAATCTCTTCCCAGCTGTTTCTCACTTCCCCTTCAGGGAGTTCTGCGGCCTACCTCGTCAGGCCTGTGAACTCCGCCAGTTCAGGTGGTCACGACTACTGTTACATCCAAGTCCAAGGAGGCGGTAGCATTGTTTGGAAGTCGGCGTGTGCTTCTATAAGCCAAGCCAACACTTGCAGACTCGTATTCTCCGGTTCAGGCCTTGAGATATTCGACGGAAGCCGGTCTTCCTGGAGAACTAATGTGAATGGGGGTCATGATCGTAATTCAGAGACACTGCTTCTTCTTGACGGGGGCGACTTGCAGTTCAGGGACCAGAGTGGAAGGGTCATGTGGATGGCTAGTGAGAGTCAAGCTGTTGACCAGAATTGTGGGTCTTTTGGGACTCCTAGAGAAAATTTTGCTTTCTCACCATTTGGCAGTCCGAGTCACAAAGACGAACCCGAATCACTGTCATCGTCTTCATCATCATCATCATCATCATCATCATCATCTCTTGGGCAGAGCTTGGACCAAAATGGTGAAGAATCTGAAATGGGTTATAACAATAACTACCAGCAGCAACAAGAGACGATGAACTATCCACAGCAGCAGATGATAAACAGACCTAGTCTCTCGGGCTTCAACCAGCCATTTTCTACACTGAACCAGCCATTTGGTGCGAGTAACCAGGAAGGGTTGGAGGACAATGGTCCTTTCGAGAATGGGGTCTCCGAGAAGAGACTCAGGATCGGTGTGGTTTTGGGTTCTTTAATCACTTTGTTGGCTTGCCTTCATTCTTTTCTGTAATCTCTCTCTCTCTCTCTCTCTCTCTCTCTCTCTCTCTCTCTCAAAAAAGTAGTGTGAAGAGATCGAGAATGCATTTGACGATGAGTTGAAGTTGAAAGCCGTTTTTCGTTATATCTGACAAATGATTGGGAACTTTGTATGTGAATCTGCATCATGCCAAACCATGCATGTGGACACTTGATTTGTCGATTTGGAAAACATTTTTTTAAAAATGATCACATGTATCTCTTGAAATAATTAGTTATTGCCAACAACAATTTGTGTCTAAACATTTGCATAGACGATGAAAATATTTATCGTTCATTTATTTTTATAAACGATCATTTTTTGGAAAATATTTTTCAAATCACTCGTATTCCGCGAAACAAATCGAGCCCTAAAAATTCATCATCTTGACAATTTTTTTTTTCGAAATCATCTTGAAAATGACGAGCTATATTTAATGCAAAATTATAGAGTCCTAGACTCCCGAGGGCATAAAATATGAAAAAAAAAATTGGGTATTGATAGGTTTCTGAAATTACTGGCAATTTTCCAAATAATGTTGGTAAGAAAACTTGATTGGTAGCTTGCTTGCCAGGTAAACCATAAGTAAATTATGATGGGGGGTGTCGATCCAAACCTAAAACTGAATACCTTTTAAATAGGAACGATCAGCGCGAGAGAATAGAAAAAATTAAATGATGCACGAGTTTAAATTACCCATATTATGACTTCACTAATGTTCAAACAATTGTTTTGTTTATCGCATTACGTGAGACCTTTCATGTAGTTTGGAAAGCGATCGATCGAACAATAAAATTGACATAATAAGAAAATAAATGGACACAGTGATTTACGTGGTTCGATCGTAGCTTGACCTACGCCCACGGAGAAAGCAAGCACGAATTCCACTATAGGAGCGTCTGCAACGGAGATTACAACCACACTCGAAGTCACTCAAACACTCTTGGTTTCCTAAGCCCAATTACACCCAATAACTCACACGGTGTTTAGCCCCACAATTCCTCACGAAATAATCTCTCAATCTCGTGAAAGAATTATACACAAATCTTATCACAAGATTTACGCTTGAACACTAATTCTTCTTGGATGTAATTCACGAACGAAATCAACTGCCAAGCACTCGCAAGCGGTGGCGCTTCAAGAAGTCTTCGCTCTTGCTCTGGACCCAGGCTTCACGAAAACCACTCTGCTTTTTATCAACAAACGTTTATCAGGGCTCCTCTATCCGAATATTTATATGCATATAAATGTGAGCCCCTTCTTCTTTTCCGACTTCATCAAGGAAGGATAATTCTTATCCTTTTATTTCTTTCTTGTCTCTGACCAATCAGCAAACCAGAAGTCCACACGGAAATTGATTTCCGTATATTCCCAGCAGAGTCCAAGTTGGACTTTCCTGTTTCACGCCCAAGACTCAGATGCATATTCGGACAGCTAATTTCCGAAACTTGGCTTGGATTCTTCTTTTTCTGTCCTTTTTACTCAATTTCGGATGTCCGCAAACTATTAATTCGGAATATTCAGATTTTCACTTTGAGACTAAACTCGAGGCATATATTCAACAATCTCCACTCTTGGCTCGACGTTTGAGCCAAGTCACAATCGCTTTGATAGAAATCCGAATTTCGCTACTACTCTCCCATAGCCCCGATGGGCTCAACCGCCACAGACGTCTTTCAAGTCCAAGCCTTGCTTGAACTTCGCCATAGCCGTGGACCTCATCGAATACCAACTCACATGCATCTTTAATCGCTTACAAGAATTTTCGACACAACCTCCTCAATCGCAGATAAAGCAAAACCATCATTGCATCCATATCTACGAGGAGACCGAATACGCACCTTGTCTATATCAGCAGCGATTGAACCGTTGGCTCAATAGGCTCCACCTCGCTACGAGCACCATCCGTGTCGATTACTTCGCTTAGCACTTTGCTACCTCGGGAGTTTCTCGGTTTCAACTCCACCTCAAGCGAACACCGTCCGATCCGTATAAACATTGCTATTAACACTCCTAGCCGTAAGACTCGGAGACTCGTCAAATGTAACTTCTCTGCCGATAACAGTGAATTTAATTCGGGCACCACAACTTATAGCGTCGCTCACCTTGTACATAACCTAGGAACATGCACTTCATTTCCCTTCCATCGAGCTTACCATCACTAACTCGAACATAACATGGACACCAAACATTCTAAGAACAGAATAATCGGTAACGTTTCGACCACACTTCTTCGGAGTCCGACATTCAATCGGCAGATCGATGGGGATCTATTCTTCGTGTAGCTCGCCGTACTAAGCGCATCCGCCAGAATCTCCTAGCCATACAAGCACTAGAGAGCATTTTATGGGCCGTCTCTAGTAATGTTCTCGCTCATCAACTCCGCAACATGTTGTGGCTCATTGGCACTAGTGCGGTGTTTCACTATGCCTTCCTTCATGCGAGAATTCATTTAACAGCCTTCGAGCAAAACTCCATACTCGTCGGTCCGCACTGCTTGATCGTTTTACCGCCTCCTTTTCGATCAAAGCTTTTAACGCCACTGATCCCGACAACAAGATCAAACTTGTGCCTTATCACAAACATCCAAGTCTTCCTCGAGTAGTCATCAACAACCGTTAGCATAACCGCACTCTTCCTTGAAGGAAACCGTGACAACTCACGAACATCTAAGTGAATTAATTTCGCAACTCCCAGTGGTTTCTCCGACAACCGTACTAAACCGCACTTTCCGCCGTTGATCTAAACCACAAGACTCGCATACATTCAGTTGTTAGCCACATAACCACATAGCAAATTTCTTTCACTTAGAACCTTCTCGGGCTTCTCTCGCTAATGTGCCCAAACGCATATGCCACAATTCGGACTCTCGAACCGACGCTTTCGACGTCTCCGCAGCGAATTCCGTCACTG